TCGGGGGTCTTACGAAGATTGTCGTCCCCTACAGGCTGTCACTCCCAACCCCCCCCCCCCACGGCTCTACACCCTTCGCTTCCTGCTGAAGTTGTGCTGGAGCCATAGGAAAACCTCAACTGTCAAGCCCACCGAACACAGCCCCGCTCCAGCTTTGTGTTCGTGTTGGTGGGCACGGAACGCGGCGCTCTAACTCCTCCGCGCACACCCCTGCACCCGACAAGCGGAGCACACAGGATGCGCTCCAGAACACAGCACTCTCCAAAGCCGCCCCCGCAGCCACGCAAGGCACACGCCCTCCCGGCCTCACGCCACAAACATCCCCACACTGGGCCACGCGCATCTGCCAACCGAGGGGAGGGCGACAGCGGCAAGAGAGCCCCGCTGCACACCCACATCTCCTAGGCAAAGGTCTTCACGAGCCGGGCATCCACACGCTCCCAACTTCCCGCATGGACTCCACGAACGCCACTCAGCGCTGGGTGTCATGTCCCTCCGAGAAGATCAACTTTCGGACACTGGCAACATCCGTCGGCCTCGCTCCCCCCGCACTCTGGAGTGGCATCCGCCAAAGCCCCAGCTAAACACCCACCATCAACCCCACACGCGCTCCAAACACCACGGCACACACGCAAAGGAGATGGACTCCGAGGCCCTCGGGTTTAAAGGGCCAGGACCTCGCACAGAAGGGACCAGGTACCCTCCTGCACCCCGGTTCCAAACTGTAAACTCGGAATCGGTGAGCACCAGCCTCCCGTGCACCCAAGGCCCGATCCCCGAGCGCGGATACCTACACTGTAGACTGGCAGGTTGCGCCCAGGCAAAAGACTCCAGTCCGGCGAAGCAGGAGCTGCCGGCGGCTCTGCGCAGCAGGCCGGCCCCGGGCCCGGCCGCCCCGTACAGGCGCCGCGGGCCCGGGGCGAACGATTCCATGCAGTCATACATCGCGGCCCGGCTCGGGGAGAAGCTGGGTGCCAGAACGCCGAGGACCCGCAGCCCGTTCCCCCTCCTCCCCCCGCGGCGCCCCGCTCCTGGAGGGGGGGAGGGGGAGGGCTAGCATAGGGCGCGGAGATGCATGGGGGGTGAGGGTGGGCGGGGAGGAGGGGGATCCCCGGCAAGGGAAGGGGCTGGGCGGGGCGCGAAGGCGAGGCTGCAGCTTCTGCCTCCGCCTGGCTCACAAGGGGTGCCCGGCAGCCAGCGCCGTGGAGACCTTTGTAAAGCGGAGCCCGGAGGGGCGGGGGCGGGGCCTGGGAGCGAAGGGGGCCGGGCACCGGGACGAGCGGCGCTGGCAGTGGAGCGCACACACGTCCACAGGCGTGTCCACGCTGCGCGGCGCACGCGCTGGCTGAGGCTTACAGCGGCGCACGCACCGCGAGTCTGCCGCTGGGCGAGAGCGCACAGGCGTCGCGGCCCGCACGGAGACTCGAAGGTGCCAGCCTCTGCGCGGACACCTGGCTGAGGAAAAGGCTGGCTCTCAGGCTCCCCGCAGCCCGAGGCTTTGCACGCATCTGCCCTTAGGCGCGAGCCCAGCTCCGGATTTGGGGAAGGAGTGGAGGAACCGACCTACGCATTTCCTTTCACAGTCCTCCCCCCCCCCCCCCCCCCCCCCTCCGGCCCCCACGCGGCCCCAGCCCGGGCAGGGGGAGCCTGGAGGTGCCCGCAGCGCCGCTCCGGAGCCGAGGACCTGCCTTACCTCCACCCCGCCCCCCCATTCCCAGGCCCGGCTCCTCCTCCCCCTCGGGCGCGCGCTGGAGCTGCTCGCCGCATTCCTGCGGCCCGGCGCGCGCCCCCGCTCCTTCCTTCCCGTTCTCCCCGCCCCAGGTCCGAGGCCGGAGCGCGCTCCCGCGGTGAACTCTCCGGGAACCCCCCTCGGGGCGGGCGGCCGGGCGCGCTCACCTCCTCCTGACCCGGCCCCGCCCCGCCCCGCCCAGGCCGTCGCCAGCTCCGCGGCGGAGTCCCCCACCCGCCGCCCGCCCCCTCCAGCGCAGCCACCCCTCCTCGCTCCGGCTAGCCCTCCTCAGCCAGCCCGGGGCCGGGCCGCCTCCCTCCAAGTCCCCAAAGCTCGACCCCGCGGCTGACACTCCCGGCGTGCCCGACCGCCTCCCTCCTCGCCTTCTCCCAGACCTGACTTCACCTAGAGCACCAAACCTGCCCCGCGGTCCCAAAGTGCGACCCAGGCGACACCGAGCCCCCACGACAACTGCCCCCTCCCCTCGGCTCCCCCTCGCCTAACTGCCCCGCGGTCGTTCACCGCTCAGGGCCACTTACACCCCACCATAGGAAATAGCTGGGCCACCCCTGGGCCCCCGCGCGCCCCGGCCGGGAGGACGGGGGGGCGGGGTGGCCACGTCAGAAGCTTGCCCTCGCCGGGCCGCGTCGAATCGGGGACCCTGGCCCTGGGACCACGCCAGCGGCGGCGACTCCCGGAAACCGCCCCCTCCCCCGCGCCCCGCCCGGCCGCCCGCCCGGCCCAGCCGGCTCTGTCAGCGCCGCGCACACGGGGAGCGCCCGGGAGCGGGAGCGGCGCCCGGCCCCTTCCCCCGCCCGGCGGCTGCGGCTGAGCCAGGGCGGGGCGCACTTTTCTAAGAATCTGCTGTACCGAGTCGGGGTCGCACTGGGGTGCTGAGAGAGTGGGGCGCCTGCTGGAAGAATAAGCAGGAAGGGGTGCCAGAGTGGGCAGAGAAGGCGGGGGAGGGGAACGCGAGGCTGCCAGGGACTCGGGGTGGGGTGGGGAGCAGGGCTGGGGAGGAGGGCCTACAAGGCGGATGGCGATGGTGGGCTGCTCTGGACGGGCATACCCGTAGCTTGCCGCAGGGACCGAGAGGAAGCCAGGAGCTTTCCAACCTAGCGTGAACTCTCCCTCCATGACCCAACCCTAACACTCCTTTCCTGAGTCCAACCGCACACCCCCAAACAAACAAACAAACAAACAAACAAAAAGCAGAAAAAGAGGACTAAGTTGCTTGAACTGGAATAGAGCCAGCAGGAAAAAATGAGGAGTGACCCCAAAAAACAGGGAGAAAAGGCCTCAACTAGTCAACTCCGGGCTTGCAAGTTCCCCTTCCCCCTCCAAAATCTGAAAGGTCCCAATTAAGTCAGGCCTGCCTGGTTGGTAATTAGAACCAGAAGTGGCCAGGCCACAGGGAGGGGGTTGGGAGGAGGGCACAGCGTGGGGGAGGGCTCCAGGAAGCCATGGGTTCTCAAAAGCCCCCCTTTTCTTCACCCCGTCCTCATCACCCCGTCTGTGTGTTTCGGGAGCACTTCAGGGACTGGGGCCTGGGGACCTCACGAGGCTATCAGGCCAACCCCTCACGCCAACCCCTCACGCCAACCCCTCACGCCAACCCCAGGCCTTGGCTGGAAAGCAAAGTGGGGAATCTAGTACCCCTCTTTCCCCGAAAGCCCCCACCCTTACTGCGGCAATTAGACCCATTAGCCTTCTAGCATTTCATGGGAACCAGATGCTCCCCGACAGTCTTGGTGGGGGCGTGAGGGGGGTGCTGGTGCTTGGCTCACCCCCTTCCCTACGATCCCCACCACCAGGGTTCACCCCCTTCCCAGCTAGATCCGAGCGAAGCTATGGTCCCAGGGGCAAAGAATGTGCCCCTCCCCCCCCCCGAGGCCAATGGCACTGGAGCCCCCAGTCCGGTCGCCCTCTGAGCTCTATCGGCCCCCGGCAAAGAGTTTGGCCGTTGGGGGAGAAGGACAGCTAAATGGTCTCTCTGCGAGTCTTGCCACCTCTAGTTTGAGGGTCCTCGCTTAAGAACTCTCCTTTCTCCTTCCAAAGCCCCACACTAAAAACCGAAGGGGTATTTCAAACAGGAGGCCCCGCCCAGGAGGGTAAGCCCGAAGGACGGGTCCCACCTGAGGAGCACTGGGAGGGGTCTTCCGAAGAGAGGGAGGGGGTAGCAGAGGGAGGTGTGAAAGAGGGTAGGCCCAAAGCAAGGATGTGAGGAGCTCTTGGCAGGATGGGGGCTGGGACAGGGTAGGGGGCCAGCGGAGGGGGGGCTGCCGCCTGGGCCCCAGAGGCGGCGGCAAGCTCCGCTCCCCCCGCCAGAGAGGTTTCCTGTTGCAATCAAAGCCCCGTTTGTGTCGGCCTGGAGCTGGAGCTGGAGCCGGAGGAGGAGAGACTGGGAGGGGAGGGCAAGAGGCAGCCGCTGGGGTTTTTCCTGGAGCCTCCCGCCGCCTGCTTGCCACCCTCAACTGCCATAGTTCGCTTCCCTCGCTCTTCTCTCCCAGCGCCCCCCTCGCTGGCTCTGCACCTGTGTGGCTGCTTTGGGCCAGCCTGCCTTCAGGGTCTCCAAGGCGCTCAGCATGGTGGCGCTTGGGCTCCCTGCCCCACAGGCCCTGGCCCCACGGCCACTGCAGGTACCAGCACAATATCTGGGGGACAGACTGGGCCCGGTCTTCTTCGAGACCTCGGGATCGCTTCCCTGGTGCTGCCCTTCACCCTTCCCTGTAGTCTTGCAAAGCAAATACACTCCACACCCGTGTTCTCGGGACCCAGAGACCTGGCCTTCCACTCACAGGCGTGTGCGCATGCACACACTCCTCTGTTCCTCACGCTTGCAGGTCTATGCTTGCCGAGCTCAGCGGCTCATGCCCTCCGCACACCTCTCCCCTCCTCCACAACAGGGTTCCAAGATGCCTGCCTCACCCACTGAGGCCCCAGGAGAGCCCCAAGAGTGGGGGAGACTCCCTCCTCAACAAGGCTTTCCCCAAGGTGCCAGGGCCTCAGTGAGAACCAAAAACCAGCCCCCAGGGGTACGCTCCAGGCCCTTTCTTAGCATCCTTTCTTATCCCACACGAAAAAGAGAGGAGTGAGAGAATGTACAGAGACACGGGGACTTGAGGTGTGGCTTCAAAGGCCCGTTTATGATTACATGGTCACAGCCCAAAGGGACAGCAGATCGAAGATGAGAAGATGAGGGTGCCCTCTTCTCCTCTGCTCCGCTCCTCTGCCACCGAGAGGGTCCCTAAGCTCCAGGACTCCCTTCTGCCCCACCACTAGGGGCCGGAAGCCCCACCTGGGAACACTGTCTGGACCCAGACCTTCCTCTCCTCCCGGCCTCACCTGCTACCTCCTTGCCTGGGCCTGTCCCTCCACGCTATCCTGTCCTTCCGAGCTAGCCTGCCGCACCCTGCACGATTGCTTCCCTCCCTCTGGCTCCTCTCTTGGGTTTCTCCTTGCAGTTCCCATCCTTTGGGGCAGCCTTGAGAATGGAGCTCCAGCCTGGCGCTTTCTCCAGCTTGATGCTTCCCTGCCTTGGCCTCACTTTGAACCCTGACCTCCATCTCCATGTGCCTGGAACACAGGAGCAACAGGTAGACTCGCGCTGGGTTCCGGCCGGGTCTCTGCCTCCCTACACCACCACACCACCGTCTTTCTGTCTCTCCTTTTCACTCCAGCTCCATCAGTTATCTCCCATGGAACTCGGGAAAAGCAAGTCCCAAGAGACTAAGTTGTGACACTCTCCGCAGGGAATACATTCATGGGAGAGGAGGCTTATCCCCGCCGCCTGGCCCACGGCAGATACATGGAAAGACAGGCATGAGGAGGAGGGGGTCCAGACACCCTGCATGCCACATGCAGACAGCAGCCTGCTATATACCTACTGATTCTTCCCACTGCCTGCTGCACACAAGGAGTCCTGCAATGCGCGGTCTCCGTGGGCTACACACGTGAACTCGGGGGGCAGACACACACCTCCACACAAGCATGCTCTTTCCGGGGGAGCTGCCCGCCCAGCCCAGCCACCCCTACATACAGAGATGGCCAGGCACCCCACCCCACCCCCGCCGGCAAAGGCCCTCCTTCTCTTTTGCTGAGCATCATAGGGTTTCTCTGTGCAGAACAGGCTGGTCCGAACTCAGAGGTCTTTGCCTCTGCTGGTGTGCGCTGCCATGCTAAAGAGTCAGTGCTAGGGTCGAAGGTCGGGGCTGAGGGTGCACATGTATCCCATGCTCAGCTGGCTTTTTTTCCCTGGTTCAAGGCTGGGGGACCCAGGAGGCGGTTGTAGGCCTAGTGCTTTGACTCCACCCCCTTCTATACTCACCGTGGTCCTGACAGGCCAAAGCCCCGTGCCCTGCCGCCTTTCCAACAAGGGTGTCCATTTTTTACATCACCCCACCCACTTGCCCTGCTTCCCCAGACCCCGAGACTCACACAGAGAAGCCATCTCCTTGGGGAGGTCAGGCTGGCCCAGGCCCCGGAAGCTAGGGTTCAGCATCTCGAACGGAGGCGACCCTCTGAGCGCCCCTGGGAAGGCAAACGGAAAGCCCGCTCCCGGGTAACCGGATCCAGGCCCCAGGGCACCAGCCGCAAAGAGGCGCTCCTTGTTGGTGGCCATGGCAGCTGCCGAGTGGGAATCCCGTGGAACCTGCAGTGGGCGGGGGCGGTCTTCAGCCGCAGCCCCCGCCCATGCCCACTGCCCCGGCCTGGGAGGCTCCGTGCCCACCCCGCCTGGCCTGCCCGCTGCGTCTCCAAGGGTCCTAGGAAGAAATGAAGAGAAAAGAAAGGTGAGACAGCAATGGCTCTGTGACCTTCTCTCAGCTGTGACCTCCCTTCAGCTGGTCCTTCAGCACCCTGGCCGGGGCTTGCAGTTTCCCAGAGTGGGCAGAGCGGACAGTTGTACCGATTCTAGGGGGATTCTTCAGTTTAGCTTCAGGGAAGGGTAAACAGAGGTTGTAGGGTGAGTGAGGGTCTGAGAACATTGGGTGGAGAGCTCCCTGAGGAAAGGCCTCACACCTGGGCTGGCCTGGCGATTCAACATCAGTCCTGTGAGGGAAATGGTGACTCCCATTTTGCAGAGGAGGGTACTGAGATTGAGTGGCGGGCCTAAAGGCACCAGCTCTAAAGGGTGGAGCCACGCAAGATTGGAACACTCGAGCTGGAGCTTGGGGGTTTACAGCTCAGTGGTGGGTCACTTGCTTAGCACACGCAAGGTCCTGGGTTCGATGCCTGGAACCAGCGGAAAAATCAGGCGGAGCATAATGACAATGCATGCCTCTAGCCCAAACCTTCCAGCCCAGCACTGATGAGGAAGAGGCAGGCAGATCTCTCTTGGGTCTGTGGCCAGCCAAGGCTACACAGTAGCCCTCAAAACAAACAAATACAAATAAACAAGAAAGAAAGAAAGAAAGAAAGAAAGAAAGAAAGAAAGAAAGAAAGAAAGAAAGAAAGGAAGGAAGGAAGGAAGGAAGGAAGAAAGAAAGAAAGAAAGAAAGAAAGAAAGCAAGCTCGCTGGCAGCAACTTCTAAGTCCTGTGGAGGCTTGGGGAGCACGGTGCAGCAGTCATGTGCAGACTCCCTGAACTGATAGTCACACTTGCTGGCTGTGGGACTTGGGAGGACTCAGCCAGTCTGTCTGTGCCTCACCTGTGAGTACCGCTGTTTGGAGGATTCAATAATTTGTCATGGGCAGAGTCTCTGGGATAACGTAGGCACACGGTAAATGCTGTGTCAATGCCTCATGCACTTCCTGTGTGCCTCTTCATTATCACTCCCTTCTCTGTCTTCCCTGGTACTCCTTCTGTTCCCCTCCTGACTGTCTCTGTCACCAGCCACCCACAGTCACCCTGCACTCTCTGTGCTCTCTAGTGAGTTCTTCTTTGATCAGAGATGGTGGTGGACTCTACTATGATAATCCCCTCCTTGTCCTCAGTTCACATTGCTCCTCCTCTTCTCTCTCTCTCTCTCTCTCTCTCTCTGTCTCTCATGCCTAGAAAACTCTCCCTGCATTCTTTCCTCCCTCAAATGTAGCTTTTTCTGACCCCTGAAATTTTGAATCTGAACCCAGGAAAGGAGCAAGGAAGCCTGAGAGAGAGGAGAGGGAAATGCAGGGCCCACACGCCATATCACTGTGGGGATGGGGATGGGGATGGGGATGAGGATGAGAAAGGCCCTCTCTCAGAATCTCCAGAACCACCAGGGTTAGTGGGCTGGGAGGGCAGCTCAGCTCCATAACAGAATGAATGAAGCTGGGCAGCGGACCACAAGAAAAGAAAACACATAGAACACATAGAGCATCCACAGATGGGCTTCCCACAGGTAGGCCCAGGCATGTCTGCATCTCGTTCCATTAGAAAGTGTTTCTAGTCTTTTACTTTTCTCTGTACCTCTGCTCTTTCCCCCTTTCTCTCAACCTCCAAACTGTTAAGAATAAAGCTGTAAAGGAGCCTCCCATCTGCACTAGGTACCACTGATAGGCCCGGACCCTCCAATCATTACCCCAGGGTCCCCCAGGATCCTTCTCCCTTTCTTTCCCTAGTCCATGAGACCTTCATCCCAAGTTAAACCCAAATGGAGCCAGGAGTCCAGGCCCCTAAAGCCCCTAGGCCATAGCTCAACAGGCTGGGCTACATTCCAAGTGGATTAACCCCTCCTGTGCCAAGAGTGATGAGTTGGTAGGGCACCACCCCCCTCCTCCGGCACCCAGTTGTTCACAGACTCTGCTTAGACTGGGAATAGGGTCTCTATTCCAGCCATGCTTGCCTCGGCATCTTACCTAGAGATGGGAACTAGAGCTCTAGGACAGGTCAGGACTTCAACAGGAGGTACCAGGGAGGGATGCTCAGCCTCCTGGTCCTCACCAAGGAAGCTGGGAGTAAAAAAAAATGACCAGCCAACTCTCCCAGCTCTTCTTTCTCTGCCTAGGACGGGAGGCTTGGAGGGGAAGAGGGCAGCAAAGACTCCTCTGTCCTAAGTCTGGGCTGTGTCTGGGAAGGAGGGGAGGGTTGGCTTCAGTGCCAGGTAGAAGAGAAGGAGAAACTGAAGAGGTAGTGCAGAGCGAAAGCAAGTCGTCAGGGAGGCCTCAATTGCCCTGGACTTTTGTGGGACCTGCCTAAGACAGCCAGTGAGCCCCTCTCCCCAAGATGCCACCTCAGATGCTGGGGCCTAGAAGGCGGGCAACAGACATGGGGAAAGGGTTTTTACAAAGCTGCTTCTCTTACAGATGAGGTGGAGTTGGGGGGGCATGGGTGAAGGGGCTGCCGGATGGAGGGGGGCGTCTCCCTGCTGCCCTGCCCGCTCCAGAGCCCGGAACAAAGCTGCTCTTGTCAGTCGCTCTCCACCGCCGCCCCCCTCCCCTCTGTATAAACACGACCACCTTTTTCCATGACCCCATCTCCAGAATGGGCGGAGAACCCAGGCATCCTCACCCCAGCCTGCGCCCCCCAGCCTGCTCTCCAGGAGGCAGCAATGGGCCTGGCTTCCCTGCCTCTGTGGCTGGGGGAGTCTGGACCCTTGATTCCCCACCTCTCATCCTCAGGTGCCCTCCCTCTACCCCACTGGCCCCAGGGAGGGGCAGTACCCAGGAGGCAGGCAGGCAATGCCAGTGGAATGTGTGTGGGCATCAGAGGGCACGGGCAGGGTGGGGCAGAGGGGGGAACTGGAGGTGCCAGTTAGGTGGCTTTCCGAGCCAGAGGTGGGGGTGTGCCGGGGTTGCAGGAGGCGTGGTCTGTGCTGTCTACCAGCTCTGAGCCACCGTGTGTGTGTGTGTGTGTGTGTGTGTGTGTGTGTGTGTGTGTGTGTGT